CAAATATTCTTCAATTTAAACCATAAAACTGCTATGAGACATAAAGCAAAGCTGTACCCTGTGACTACCCATCTAAACAGCCATGTAGCACAGTGGGTAGAAATTTCCAATTTGTTTCCATCAGGCAGGAGTGCTGGGTTTATTTTTTTTTTTAACCACTGCATATGCTAAATATTGGTAAGGGGCAGAGCAGGGCAGGACAGTGTTCAGCTTCCTTTTAGTTCTGTCATGCAATGCAGTATCGAAGAAGCACAAGAGAATTAAAAGCAATACTTAAAGCAGAAGAACCCCAACTTGTTACGGAAAACTAGAAATTTGATTTTGCTAGTGTTGATTGAGATGTAAGCATTAAACAAAACAAAACCTTTTGAGGTAGCCATGATGTAATTTAGAATAGAAAAATAACCTTGGATGGCATAGCCAAAAGGTTGGATGGAATTAGCACTGCTGATAAAATTTTATTTTCAGTATTAATTTCCATTTATGAAACCTGGTTGAAGTGTCTTTCCATACTGAGTCCCAAACACACCTTAAGCATTTTCTTAAGAAGTCTGCTTAGTCAGAGCACACAGAAATTCAAAGCATACAGAAGTGTCTGTCTCTTACACTCATTCTCACATCAACAAGGTTGCGTTAGAAAAGTGAGAACACTTTTTAAACTGATAAAACTGAAGATGACAAGAGCTATTAGACCTTAAAATAGGACACTTTCAGTTATTTATACAAACTGCTCAGAGTACTCTAGCAAACGGTTTCAATACTTTTGAGTAATCATACACAGTCTTCGAAGGTAGTGGCAGTTACAATACTGGTAACATGGGCAGCTGCATATACACACACGTATTTCTTAAAGGAGAGCACTGCAGTGTAAATGTATATATGGAGTCAATTATTCTGAACCTTCAATCATAGACCGATTTGTGGCAAATTATTTAAATTTCAATTCAAATTTGGTCACTAAGGAAGCAGATTTCTTGTTTTGAAGACAGCTAAGAGTGGTAGGCTTGAACACCAGGAATTGAAAGCTACTACAGCCAGATTATGAAAATCTAGATATACATCACAATGTATCATTACTGAGTAGAAGGTAAAACTCTGAGACAAAAATTCAGAGAAAGCTCATTACAAGGGCCTGTCAGAAGCCATGGGGCTTTGACGTATGCTTGAGATGTGCAGGAGCTTCCTTACAGACCGGCGGATTGTGGTGGTGTGGGTCGTCATACAACCACCAATACCTGCAGCACCCTGGACCCTCTGTCCCACCAGGAACTCCGTGTCCGGCTTCTCATGTGACCTCTGAATTGCCTACTGGGCTGAGACATGGTGCCAGCAGCCCACACCCCACACCAGGGTGATGAACTGGGCTGGGCTAATGGGGTGGGAGGTGGGACCTGCCTGCAGATGTTCCACCATGCAGGTGAGCAGTGCTTCCCGCTGGGTGACTACTTAACAAGAGGCCTTGCTGTCATCTTGGGGAAAACATTTGGCTGGGTGGAGGTGTCTTACTACCAGAGAGGCTTGACATACATGAATCCCAAGTAGAGAGATGACTGCCTTCCTCTAGGCCAGATTTAGGAGATCAGTTTCTCCTTGAGTTGCGCAGGGCTTGCAGCGTCTCACTCATCCACCATTGCACATATCTCAGCAGTGCTGTTCTTACCCTGTTGGCTATATGGGTCCTCTTGCAAGCCTCCTATGGTGTTTTTAGGTTACACATCAGCTGCCTTCATTGGAGGCTTATCAGTTACTAAAACTGCATTCTCCCTGCAATGGATGATGGCAGCAAATTCCTGCCATGTCTTAGTGGCGCATTGCAGACCCGTTTCAGAGCATTATCAAAAGACAAGGAAGCATCACATTGCACATGGCATTTTAATGGTAGATGACAACCCTGACTGATACAGCTTAAGATGAAGGGGGAACAGTCAAAACTTCACTATATAAAAAAGAAACAGGAACGCTGTTCTTGTGTTATTGATCAGGCTGTCACATGCCATGGTTGGGAAGGTCTGTACTTGCATGTATGCTGTTCCTGTAACCCCTGAATCCTATTGCTACTTGGTCCTGAGGGACTAGAAGCAGCAGAAATTATGTGTGTGTAAATTTTTACTGCAAAACACACTATTTGGTCCTGAAAAATAAGAAAGGTATGAGAGGAAAATTATGCTTTTCATGAGCGGAGACATCCTGCTGTTTGATCAACTCTGAAAACTGACAAAACTGCTTATACTGCTGGTGGAGCTGCAAGAGTGAAAAAAACAACCCTTACGATAAGCAGTTTTGTCCCCCTCAGGGAGCATCTGATTTGGATACCTGTGAATTCACAGAAGGGCAAACTTTTCTTAATTACAGAAGCTAATTTTAAATCTTGGTAAAATTTTGCATCAAGTTTGCAATGCAGTGCTCTCCTTTCCTGCAAACTGTAAGCACACAGAGTAGACAAAGCACATCAATACTATACCAGGCAAAAAAGAGTAAAAGTTGAAAACTAACAGGCGCTGGCTGAGGTTGGGCCAAGACGGTGTGGTTTCCAGCTGAAGCCAAAATGGTGTCTGCTCTTACCTGGCCACCTGCAAAAATGATAGGTGCAGAGGCAGGTTTGGGACGGTAGGGGATGGTGGCACCTTTGGGTGGGGACTGCAGACAAAAACACAAAACAATCAAAATGCAGAATGAAGCAGAGCTCTTATTAAAAAATCACTCCTTATCTTGGTCACCTCAGACAACAAGGCATGCAGCTAACCCAGCCCAGCCCAGCCCACCCTGCCCACCACCCCAACAGCCCGAAAGCAAGCCAGAGGCCAGCTGTCTGGGCTTCCAGGGGAAGAGCTGAGTTCCTGACTGCACAGCTGAAACAGGCCATGCTGCCACTCATGCCTTCATTACCGCCATCGCTGGATGAAGCTATGAAGCTTCCTTAATCATGGCAAGGCATTTCAGGGAACATGGGCACAATTTTGAAACTTGTCAATGTTTCGGGAGAGTCTGGCTTGCGCTCTTGCTTTGTTAACACAGTGCACATCTCCTGCGTATTGAACTCTCCTACTCTTCTACGCATCAAGGTTTCTTGTTTTACCAACTCCATTAAGTCAGCTGTTCAATAGCAAATGGCCAGCCTGATCCTGCCATTTGTCTGACTGAGCT